ACTGCTAAGTGACTGCAGCATGCTGATGAACTGAGTCTACATCCAGATATTTTCCTTCAAAGCAGATGTTCTTTCCACTCTAGCACACTGTCTACAATTACTTTGTCCTCTTCGAGTCAGGAGTGAACCAAGATCAAAAGATAAACATGTATGATCAACAGTTGACGGTAACTATTTTACTTCTACATTTAACAATCATATACCATATTCTTTGTTACCCAGAAGATGTGACCTACTGATATCCCTATGGTCTCTTGAAATTAAACAGATCTCTTGCAAATACCAGAACATATACCAGCAAATGAATGTTCCTTTGTTAAACCACTCCGACATATGACTAACTCATCATCACATCACAAGGGGAAAATGAATCAGGGCGTATTATACACAGGAAAGTAGCTAAATTCCAACTGTGACAAGGAGAGGACAAATGGATGCTACAGAAAAGTCAGAGAAAAATCAATTCTTTCTTTGCCACAGTGGGATTCCAGAAATGGCCCAAAGCCAGAAGTCACCTGGTAATGGTCACTGCATTTGCCAACTGTCTCTGACAGAGGTATGTTTTCATGCATCTAGAAATAAATCCAAGGTCAACTGGGTTGGTTAATCTCTCATTCTCCAAAATACATTCTGGTGACCAAAGAAGAGAGACTTGAGATAAAGCTATGTAGTAAACACCAGAAAGGCCCTTTTATTACAGAATCCGGTCACTGAATTGATATCCAGACTAAGCTAAATCCTCTTGCTTACCAAACTCTTGTTAAGTATTTAACAAATGTCTATTGAAAACATATAGGTGCTGAGGACATAAAGAAAGACAACCCATTATCCCTCTTTCTAATAAGCTCACAATCTACCTGGGGAAAATATTTAAATAATCAACTATGATAAAGCGTGGTGAGTGCTACTATGCAAGCAGTCGAAATAAAAGACTCCTGTAGGAATGAAGAGAATTAATGCTTCCTGAAGCAGTCAAACAGCCTTCGTGTGTGTGTGTGTGTGCATGCGCGTGTGCGTGCATACACTGCCAGTCACAACAATGGTGACAGGCTGAGGTGTGAACCTAGCCTCAGCAAAAGCATGCAAGTAAAGCAGGAGGACACAGCCAAGTCCGAGGATGGAACAGTGTGCTGTGGCTGGGAGGTATATCAAATGCTGCAGACTCTAATGCTTCTAGGGTTCAAATGAACGTCAAAAAAGTAGCAAAGCAAACCTGATGATAAGTAGCAACTGATCTCTGCCTTAGTGTCTGAAGGACATGAGGAGGTTGTAGCAAACTGGAACAGGCTTACCTAGTCAAGACAAGCAGAGGCTAGGAGCCCCAGCCAATTGTCGCTGTGCAGAAGTTCATGTACCCAACGCTTCTGAGTTTTCAAGTAAAGACAGATCCAGATTTCCATCTGAACTTTAGAAGTTCATCCTGACTTTAAATGTTTACCCAACTTATTAAAAACAGTTTAATAAACATTATATAAGCCAAAACAAAACCTATCTGCAGGCTGACATCAGTTTGGGAGCTGAGAACATACAACCCCTGATGCTGGATGTAAAGCAGAGGAAAAGGGTGGTAATGAAGGCTGGGACAGACTGGGAAGGTCCTCGAATCCTATACCACAGAGTTTCAACTCCAACTTGACCCTGTAGGCATCATGAAATAAGATGCACAGATCCATATCTCAGAAAAGCATCTTTCAAACTGTGTTTCTAAGAAGTGTTGCTGAGAAGTATTGTTTGAAATGATTGGCTGGTGGCATGATGAACATGGATTACAGAAGAAGAGACTGAAAACAGAGAAGACCAGCCTAGAGATAATCACATTTGTCCAGGTGAGAAAGAAGACACGAAGCACGGAAGATGGCCATTAAAGAGGGCACAGCTGGCAGAGGCTGTGAGAAAGAGGGAGCAGCGAGGGAAAACGATGGTAGTACACGCTTGGAGACAGTCCAAGTGCAGGACAGAGCTCTACTCGGTCAGGACTCCAATGCTGTGGACTTCTCTCTTGCTTCTTGTTTTTGTCGTGGATTTCTCAAAAATCAGAATTACAGTATCATTCCTCTCCCAAACCAAATAGGGCTACTACTGCAGCAGACTTAAAAAATATCAGTCTCTAAGTAATGAACAGGGATGCTGTGATGGTTAACTCTGGTTTTACGGTTAAACTCGACTGGCTACAGGGTGTCCAGATTAAACATTATTAAACATTATTTCTGAGTGTGTCTGTGAGATTAGCATTTAAATCAGTGGACTCCATGAAGTAGACTGCCCTCCCCAATGTGGGTGGGCATCATCCAATCTGTTGAGGGCCTGTATACAACAAAAGGAGGAAGCAGGAGGTCTTTGATCCTTTGTGCTTCCTCCCGTCTGTGTGCTTGAGTTAGGGCATCTCATCTAATCTTCTCTGGCCTTTGGACTGGGATTTAAACCTTTGGCTCCCCCAGGGTCTGAGGCCTTCAGACTCAAGTTAAATTTTATCATTGGCTTTCTTGGGTCTCCAGCCTGAAGAAAGCAGACTGTGAGACTTCTCAGCCTCCACAATCATGTCAGCCTATTTGTCACAAGAAATCTCTCTCCCTGTATACAAAATTTTCTGGTTGTTTCTCTGGAGAACTCTAACCAGTATAGATGCTTTCCAAACATCTAAGGAATTCAGCACATTAATGAGAGAATGAATTCAGTTTGGTTAAAAAGAAAAAAATCTATCCCAAGAATAAAGGTCACCTTCAGTTACAGAATACATTCCTAGGTGATGCCTAGGATTTGGGCATGATCAATCACACAGACACTGACATTTCTGAAATTCTTAAACTGAGAGCTTTGTTCACTTGGCTCTTATATATATTTTCTACAAAAACAGCTTTAAAGGTACAGCATTTTCACAAAATAACTGCTTTTTCTTAATATTTTTTACTTTTTTTCCTTAGTAATATTCACCTCTGTGTAATAAATGCTTTGGTTCACAAGTTTGGCAGAATTCTCTTATGTTAATCAGCATTTTCAGGTATCTTTTTTCTGTCACATAAGAAATTCATTCCATGTTTTTACTGTTAATACACAACCTGAGTAGTATGTGATACTACACTAAAGTATGCTGTCACCACCCACCAAAAAAGTGAAATTAAAAACTGTTTCTATGAGGATGTAAGTTAGAATAATGTCAAGTTGCTTCTGTACTCACACACAGTTGCACCAGAATTCAAAATTTAGATGCTAGCTATTCGTGTGAGTGAGCTTAACCATTTGATCTTCTGCCTGGGTCTTCTTGGGCCTACCAAGACTAAAACTTCACAATGAGGAGACTCAGCAAAGCCTGCAGTGCAGTGTCCGGAGAGACAAGACACAGGGAAATGGAAAGAAGGACCTGGAGGGCTGCAGGGAGAAGGCAGGCTAGGCTAGCATACATGAATTGGCAAAAAATGATGATCTGAAACAACATTAACAGTAGCCTTTGACATTTTAAAAATTTACACTGTTTCTTCTCTACTACAAGAGCATCACTCTATCTCCCCACCTCCCCAAGCTAGTTATATATTGGCTCAATTATACATTTTTGTGTGCCAGAACATACACAATACAGCTGTATTTGACCAAAAAAAAAAACTTTGATGGATTCATATGGCATTATTTCATCCCTTAATGTTGCTGAAACTTACATTGGTTTCAAAAACAACTATCTACTTAGGGTGATGGAAGGGAGAATGAAAGAGGACCTAACAATGGATAAATATCCTTACCTTTAAATTTGTGGCTAAACTTATACCTTTAAGTTTATGCCACAAACTTAAGCTATGCCATAAATGTAGGCATATTATAAGAAATAATTACCAGAAAACTGATTGAAACATACAAAAAACAGAAACTATTTCACATTAAATCTTCAAGTCAGATTCCTTTTCTACTGGTCTAAACAGGGAAAAGTGCTATTATGACAGTATGTTAAGGACAATGCTAAGAGGAATACAAGGAAATCAGTATGTCATGCCTTTGGCAACACTCCACAAAGAAATTGTTTTTCACCCAAGTGTAAGCTTCTTGAGTAAAAGGAACATGTATTATTCATCTTTTTATCCCCACAGTACTTAGAACAGCTTCTGGTATGAGTAGGCTCATGGTAATGGCTACCAAACTGGTAATTAAAATTCTCTAGGAAACAAAGTTCTTATTCAAAACGAGCCTCCAGGCGTACTGAGCCCTTCGGAAGGTACGGCTGTATGTGGGAAGGGGCAGCTTTACAAAAACAGTTAAGAACATGGTCTTGGATGAGTACTTTTTTTTTTTTTTTTAAACCTAAAAAGTAAAGGGAATTCGTGCATATGGAGGCTTAATACTGCATATGGGGGAAAGCTAAGAAAAGAGACCAGGTAGAATGAATAGAGATTGTCCCATGTGGCAAAGAACTATCTCAGAGGAGCCAAAGAAGTGAATGCTGGGATGGTTTTCTTTTGCTTATATCAGCATAGTTAGAAGACACAGAGGGCCAGAGCTCCACTGGGATTCACAGCACAACAGCACCTCCATAAATCACTGAGCTGGGTCACAGTGTAACTACCACCATCATGCCTCTGTTATCCCATTTGGTCTCCTACCAAAATGAGTTCTATTGTTTATAGAGTTCCTAAAGGATTAGAAACCAGAGAATCTGAACCGTAGGAACTAGAGTCCTTTTCAGTATTTTTCCAACTTTCTTTTATAGCCATAGGATGTCTTCTTCAAATAAAATTTTATAAATAACCCTGATACATAAAAAGGTAAAATCAGAACTGCTCTGATTTACTGTCCAGGCTGTGGTAGGTAGCCTGGGATCCTGTATCACTATGGAGGCAAAATGTGAAAACTACTGACAGGTCCAAACTCCTCATTTGACAGAGAGGTTAAGCTGCCACCCAGGCAGTGAATGAAAGAGCCAGAACCAAAATCTAGAAATGCCAACACACAGAGAAGGTTCTTCCCCCTGTATTCCATGCTGTCTCTAAAAAGCAAAGGAGGAAAGAGTTCATACTCACCATCTTTGTTGAGCCATTGCTTTCTTGTTCTGTACAAAAGGAGCTTGTTGTGGACATATGGTAAGAGGAACTTGACACACCAGCTCTCCACACCAAGTTTGTTTTCAACCAGGACTATGGGACTCCGGTTATACCTAGCTTCAGGACATGGGATCAGGCCAATTTCATCTCTTAATATGTAAAACAAAAAGAAGAAGTAAAGATAAGACTATTAGTTTTTCCAACATTTTTCAAATCCTACAGACTATTAAAAAGAAAAATAACGTATTTCTCTCTCTTTTTTTAAAAGAGTTATCTATTTTTTGTGGGGGAAGAGGGAGAAAGAGAGAGAGGAAGGGCAGAGGATGGAGAGAATCTTTAAGCAGACTCCTTGCTGAGCATAGAGCCTGATGTGGGGCTCAATCCCAGGACCCTGAGATCATGACTTGAACTGAAATGAAGAGTCGGACACTTAACTGACTGGGCCACCCAGGCAACCCCATATTTCCCTTTCTTAAAAATACTATTTAGCTCACCTGCTGGATTAGTAGAAATTTTAAAAAAATGTTTTTTAATACAGACAAGAGTACAGGAAAATTAGTATGCTAACTCCCTGTTGACAAAAATGAAAATTGGTCTAAACTTTGGATGGAAATTTGAAAATGTCTTCCAAATTTTAAATTGCATATACTCTGAGCCCCAGTGATTCCACTGCTCAGAAATTATCCTATGCCAAAATATGTCAAAAGGATGTTTACTGCAACACTGCAACAAAACTGGAAACAATCTAAATATGTATCAATATAAGACTGGTAGAATAAACAGGCTAATCCATGTGGTAGAGGTGTACAAAAATGAGGCAGATCAGCATATGCTGGAATGGAAAGGATGCCAAGATATATAAAACCAGAAAAAGAGCAAAATACTAAGTGCAAAATGCATAAAGCATTTTGTATAATTTTTTTTCAAAGAAGGATCCCAAGAAATTGGGGAGAAAAACTATTTTATTTTTATACAGTTTAACTTTTCTAATCATTTGTATGTATTATTTCTATTTTTTAAAAAATGTCAACAAATGTACTTACACTTGCCTAGTAATATATGCAGAGAAGAAACATTATCAACAAAAGTTATCTTGTCAATGAGATTGTGGGCCATTTTTTCTTCTTTATAATCCTTCATACTTCATTGAATTAAAAAAACAAACACACTGATAAATGTTGCTAAAACACAAAATACATTTCAGAATTTAGGTCATTTTCATTTAAGGCAGCATCTATGTCCTTCAATCCGCCTCACCTTAAATTGAAAATTTACATTTGAGACTAAGATTTAATAAATGATATATACAGCAGCTGACTTACATAGTAAATGAACCAGCAAACATAAAAATGGTTTTGCAAAAACACGCCTTTCAATTACAAAGATGTTGTGATAACTGCCTACATTAAAGAAAGAAAAAACTGGTTTTCAGAGCTTATGTATGACATTTTCTATTACATCTATTAGATACAAGAGGGGGAAACAGGAACAATTACAGGTTATAAGAAAAGCCCCCTTTATTTGTTAGGCCACCATCACAAATTGGTGGGAGGCTATGGAACTAAAATAGAATCTCTCCTGGAAACTCTACACTAGATAGTTCAGAGGTAACCTACTTTCTACTGATCACTTCATTAATGACACAGGGATCCATCAATAAACAAGGGTACTCTAGTGGTTAAGTCACTAACCATTCTTTCAAGCTGATTTCACCTGAAGTAGATTTTAAGACCTAAGGCTTTCTGTCCTTACAACTGGCTCAACTGATTCAGAGGTGTTCTGATATACCACACCAGTACTATCTAAGCATTTTCTGAGTACCAAAATGTACTGGGTACTATGTTAGGTCCTGAAAATGCAAAAATGAATAAAACAAGGTGGTCTCAGACTTCGAAGTGCTGCTGGTTTTGATGAAAATTGTATCAATATCTATAATAAAATGTTAACACTTTGCCATTCCAGTAGTACAAAGTTTTGTAGGAAGCATGAAGCAATGCTGAGAGCGCATCTGAGTTCAACAAAAAGTTTTTGCATTTGTATTTGGTTAATGTGACATCTACCTAATTCACCATTAGGATACCTAGCCACATCCAGAGCCATCCCTAACATATGTCTGTATCTCTGGTATTTTCTGGTATTCAGGTATTATTATGTAAAATAGAACATTTAAAAATTAAACTAGAATTACAATAAAAAACTCAGTAATTATTTAAGAAAGTCTGTTGTCTGAGATCTAATAACCACTTACAACACTTCAAAGAACTGCCTAAGTCAACAATATGAATGCTAGAGTAACAAGAATAAGAATAAAAGATCCTACCTTTGGGTACAGTCCATTTGCAGGGAAGGAGGCAGAGTTACTTAAATTCACAATGTAAAAACCTGCCTTGCTCATTATTTACGCCAAAAATAAAATGCCCAATTAATAATTCAGTACCTAAATGAAAGGACAGAGCCATCTGCATGAATAAAAAACACACTTCTTTAGTTGGGTACCATTCTTCCGAGAACTAATTCTAAAAAAACAAGAATGCCTTGATACAGCAGATGCTCAATAACTGCTCTGAAAGGCTGATTATCATGCACTTCAGCGAGAATATTCAAATAAATCGTTTTCAAAGAATATCACTTCTTGACTCTCCAAAAGAACATTATGTCTGACTTCCTTCTAATGCACTGGGTCCAAGTCCTAGCTCTGTCAGTATTTTATATATATTGGCCTTAAATATCATTTGGCCTCTACAGACCTTAATTTCCTCATTTGTAAAATGGCAGAGTTGCATTCCATCTCTAAATAAGGGAAATGGACTGCTAGGGTCTCCTACAGCTTTCAAATTCTGAGAAACCTGGCAGTTATTCTCAGGGAACTGGCCATATCAGGGAATGTAAAGCACTAGGGAAAACAAAACATTAAAAGAGAGGTAGTAGGATGTATACAAAAGTGCTCCATCTTCCAAGGTCGAGGGTTCTAGCTAGCCTCTGTTCTACCACTGACAGTCAAATGGGAATGTGGCAAGTCACTTGTCATCGGTATCCTTATCTGAAATACATAATAATGCCTCTTAGGAAGAGCAAATATTACAAGGTAAACAATGTGGTAAGCTCCGAAGTGACAGGCAAAGATGAAGTGTATTATCTTTAATTCATTTAAGAGCCTGAGGCCAACCAGAAAAGTTACTTGATTAACAGATGGGAAGGTGAAGCAAAAACGTTAAGCCTTTGTCAAGTGATCTGACCCTAAAATACAGTGCTTTGCTGCTTCCTAAAAATATAATCTGTACTTGATAAAGATAGGTAGGTCAATAAGCTTCCAAGTAACAGTGTGTTTGACTTCAGACTTCCATGCTGAGTCCCTCAGGTCATAGTCCACTTTTTTTCAGACAATTTAGAATAGGATTCTAGAATCATTTTAAAATTGGAAGGGCCCTCATTCCCCCAGTATCTCATTTTATCAGACAAGGAAACTGAGGTCCACTAAGGTTAAGATGGTTACCCAAGGTCACACTGCTAATGCTAAGTTAAAAATCTGGATCTCTTAATAGCCCAAAACCCATGACACTAAAGATAAAAACATCAGTGAAAGCAAGCAGGATTTAAATTAATTCCTTCTAGATTTCTGGCTATTTAAATTCTAATTTTATATGCAAGAAAAGTTAGGAAACTCAGGGGGGGGGGCGGAGGAACAAACTAAAAGTCTTTTTGTCATCCTTCTACACTCATGTTTGGTTATGCCTCCTTTTTTTTCTAAGTTTTACCAAAGTGGAATTATAGTGGATGTGCTGTCCTACAATCTTTTTTCTTTTTTTATTTTTATTTAAATTCAAGTTAGTTAACATACAGTGTCATATCGGTTTCAGTAGAATTTAGTGATTCATCACTTCCGTTATATGTAACACCCAGTGCTCATTACATCAAGTGCCCCCCTTAATGCCCATCCCCCATTTAGCCCATCCTCCCACCCACCTCCCCTCCAGCAGCCCTCAGTTTGTTCTCTACATTTAAGAGTCACTTATGGTTTGCCTCCCTCTGTTTTTAGCTTATTTTATTTTTCTTTCCCTTCCCCTATGTTCATCTGTTTTGTTTCTTAAATTCCACATATGAGTGAAATCTTATTTGTCTTTCTCCGACTTATTTCACTTAGCATAATATACTCTAGTTCCAACCTACAATCCTTTTTTAAAACTTAACAATTCATATTAAACATCTTCCTATGTAATTAATTTTTATATTTTTAATGGCTGCAAGAAATGTGCTATAAATACCAAATATATCTCCAGTTATTTCCTTGTGAAATAATGTTACAAGAGAAATTTCTGATTCTTTTGCTACCACCAAATTACAGTCTTTTATATTTTTAGGTTTCTGCCAATTTAGATCCCTGATATTTAACAAGGACACTCAAATAACTACCTGCATTACCAATGTCATAGGACTGCTAAAGACATGAAGGTTTGGGATGGTGAAAAAGTTCTAATATTCTCAGATAACACGAAGCTCACTTTTTAGGTTACTTTTGAAGGCTGTTCCAAAAAAACAGCAAAATGGAATGAACCAACACATTTACTTAAAAAGATCGTACACAGCATGGAACAGCTTTCTGCGTGCTTCACTTCACAATGGGGATCCACTGACTTCCAAATGAAGTTGAAAAGTTCATATAACACTGAGACTGACTTTGTTCCTCATATTTAGACAGCTTTTCTTGTCTGCAATTTCAGAAACATCATCAATTAGAGTAGGCCCACATATTATTTTCAAAAGTAGTATCACCCAGTTTCCCTTTTGGGAGGGAAGAATGGTCCCCAAATACTAAACTGAACCCTGTAATGTGGAGTGACCACACAGAAAACACAGCCCAAGGATTCAGGAAATGATACAAATCTTCTTAGTCTAATAGTTATTTTGGTGGTGCCTGGGTGGCTCAGTCAGTTAAGCATCCCCACTCTTGATTTTGGTTCATGTCGTGATCTCAAGATCATGAGATAGAGCCTTGAGTCGGGTTCTGTGCTCAGTGCACAGTCCGCTTGAGATTCTCTCTCTCCTCCCTCCGCCCCTCCCCTTGCTCGTGTTCTCTCTCTCAGATAAATAAAATCTTTAAAAATAATTTTTTTCTCCTTCAAACTGGAATTCTTTCCAGAATGACTAAAAAGTAAAGTGAGCAAAATATCTAAAGGAACTGACCCTTACATATTGATAATTAAAACTTTGCTGGTGATTAAGTTATTTCAGGAACCTCATAGGTTTTCTTGATTTTAAAGAGTACTAACTTCACGTATCGTTGAAATATTACTGGCCTTATTTTAAAAACAGCTACAAAAATTGCTACTGTCTATTGAGTGTTGTATGCAGTGCTCTGTGTTTCATTTATTTCACAGTCTTATAAAGTAGGAATTTTAACCCATTTTAAAGATGAAGAAAGAGTCTTGTCTAAGTCTACCAGTTACTAATCGACAAGCCAAGATTCAAATCCAGGACTGTCCAGATTCCAAATCCAAATTTTCACAACTATGCTATTATTTAAATAAATAGATAAAAAATGAAGTGTAAGAAGACAATTAAGACTTGTGGTTTCCTACTCTTCAAATTCAACGTAAAGGGGCGCCTGGGTGGCTCAGCTGGTTGAGCGACTGCCTTCGGCTCAGGTCATGATCCTGGAGTCCCGGAATCAAGTCCCGCATCGGGCTCCCTGCTCAGCGGGGAGTCTGCTTCTGCCTCTGACCCTTCCCCCTCTCATGTGCTCTCTCTCTTTCTCTCAAATAAATAAATCTTAAAACAAAAAAAAAAAAACAAAACAAACAAATTCAACGTAAAGATGTGCTTTTCCTTACTACTCCCTTACTCCAAAATTTTCACTGGGGCCTATGCACTGCCTAGGAATTCTGTTTTCCCTGAGCCAACTCATCCATCCCTCAGGTCCCCTTTTAATTGCTATTTCCTTAAAAGACTTATTTTGAGCTTCTCATATAAATTAGGTCCTCTGTTATTATTCCTTCAAAGTATCCTTCTTATTCTTTGAGGCTTTTTTCATATTCTGTGTGGCGATTTGTTCCACTGCACCAGGGACCATGGGTGATATGTTCACCCCACTCCTAGACCTGCACATCCAGAGACTAGAATTGTATCTGTCAAATACACATGCCCTTTTGCTGAACACATACATGGAATGAAAGAAATTAAGCCACACAGTCAAGGACTTCCATAATTTGATTCTACTATATCTTTTTTTTTTCTTCTTTTTTTAGAAAGGCAGACTGCCACATGCAGCGCCTCATTTGGATGTGTCTGGAGTCTTGGAAGCTTGACTACCCTACGTTCTCCTACAAATGGACCTTGAGAGCTTGTTTGGAGGTTCTAGCAGGGAAGCGCAGCTACTCGTATACCCTTGACTGAAGAACGGTCCTCCTCTATTGGGGAAGGTCGTCCTCTTCGACCGAGTGCACAGCTTCGGGAGGGACGCACATGGAGCGGTGAGGGAGGAAGGGGACACCCGCCTAGCCAGCCAGATCAGCCGAATCAACCCTGGCAATCAATGGGGTGACAGATGTCGCAGCCAGATCGCCCTCACATCCTACTATATCTTTTCAATCACATTTTGCTACTTTGGGTTAATTTACAGTTTCATGTGGAGGTCTTTGGCTCTCTTTTGAGACTATAAATCCTACCCAGCCTTCAATGTTCAGCTCAAACCCGCCTCCCTTAAAGGCCCTGGCCTAGACATACAAAGCCTTCCTCCTACGCCTAACACACTCACATAGCACTTGCTCACCATGCTGCCAGTCCAGCCTTTATCACAACCTGCTTTGCACAGTTAATTTACTGTTCATGCAGGTGGGTCTTATGTCTGCATCTAGAGCTACACTGTGCGATACAGTGGTCACTGGGCATATATGGCCACTATGTATAAGTTAATTAACATTAAATAAACCCCATTCACATTAGCCCCATTTCAAGTATTTAATAGCTACATATGGCTAGTGACTACCATACTAGACAGCAAAGACAGGACAATTCCACCAACACAGATATTTCTGTGCCTTGAGTATAAGAACTATATTTTATACTCCCCATTCTATACTGTGAGGATAGTACCTATAACATCTCATAAACAGTGAGAGTTCAATAAGTATTTTAAGCAGTAATAAAAAAATAACTTGGTGGGCAAGAGACCTTTGACATGACCCTAATTACACTGTAAGCAGCTGTCTTCCACATTAGCACAGGTCTATTTATTAAGCTATTGCTAGTCCCTGGGTCAAGCCTTCAGCTGTTTTTCCAATGGTATTCTCTAAGAGTCAACCATACAAAAATTTGTATGGTATTTTTCAATTTATAAAGTACTTCACATACATCATGCAGTTGGCCAAAATGGTTTTCTGAGGAATACAGAAATTCAGGTTAAATCTAGTATTTAGCTAGTGGCAGCTAAGGGCCAGACACTGGGCGAGCTGATTTTCCTGCGTTCTCATCAACCTCACTAGATCAAAAGGAAAATGAGTTTGACAGAGGGTAACCTATCCACATCTACCAGTAACTAAATCCACATCTTAACCAATATATGTTCGACTCCTGGCTAGGCATTTTCACAGAAACGAGGTCAATATGTTTAATGGAGTAGATATTGTCTAATAAAGTTACAGTCTATCTTGTATTTGAAGAGAAAAGGAAAACTAAAAGTAAAGAATGAAAAACTTTTTCCTATAATACCAGAAAGTGTAATTAGGTAACTAACTTTTGAGATAAACGATGCCTTTTTTTTTTCTTTTAGCCAGAAATATAGCTAATTTATTTCGGAAGTAAGAGGGCTAGATTAGGGGAAGAAGTTCAGGCAATTTTAAAAAAATCCAAACTGTAAGACATTTTTAAAGATACTGTGTAGTAATATTATCGAAGATATCATTATTATAGGAAATATATACTAAAATATGGCTGAAAATTAATATTAAACAACGAGTTAAGCTATTTAAATTCTTCGGACCTGTATTATGTATCATCATTTCAAATTATTTCAAATGCTCAACTTATTTCAAACTTTTAAATCTTGAATGGCCCAAATGTTTATTAATAATTTTAAATTATGCACTGACAGCATATTAGTGAGCTTTCACCATTAAAAATACGATTGCGGGCATTAAAGTCCTTTATGAGTTTCAATAAATATGATCCAGAAAAGCTGAGATGTGTTCCAAACTGCGCTCTCAACCCACCAAGCCAGTGAACACTCAAATCTATTCTTCAAATATAAAACACTGATTTTTTTTAAAGATTTATTTATTTGAGAGAGAGAGAGAGAGAAAATGGGGGGAGGGGCAGAAGAGAGAGAGAGCGAGGGGAAGTAGACTGCCTGCTGAGCAGGGAGCTGATGCAGGAGCAGGGCTGGATCTCAGGACTCTGAGAAAATGACCTAAGCCGAAACCAAGAGTCAGACACTTAACAGGCTGAGCCACTCAGGTGCCCCTGATGTGTTTTTTCAATCTACCTCAAAGAAGAGAAACTATGATTACTGTACTTATTAGGGTTCTTTCTAATCTCTGCTATAATTTCTTCACGAAAACAACATCAGTGATGAGAAAATAGGCTGTTCACTTATACAACTTTTTTTTGAGGTTGTCTTTTACACTAAAGCTCTCATTCTCAAAAAGGGACTGAAACACTGATATACAAGGCATCAAAGCATTCTTTAAAAAACCCAGTGTCTACTATGGTTACTGCCAGGAAATCATTCCAAACACTCATTTAAAAAAAAGGCAGCAGTCACGAGGGGAAAGGAAGTGGACACTGTCAGAGGTGGCAGGTGTGTTTTGAGGCCAGCTGCACTTTGCTTTTAATGAGGCACTATTACAGGTCTCCAATTGTGTGCCACAAGGGAGCAAGACATCTGAGGGCTTCTTAATTTTTATATGCATCGCTTTGAAGGAAAAGAACACTTCATTTAGATGTAGGTTTGGTACCTATGGTTTAAAACGCATAAAGAGCATAATTCATGTGTTCCAGTTTAAAAAATAAAATATTAAAAGAAACATTCACGAACAATTAGAAAAGTTGAAAATAATGTAAAACTGGATTCCATGTATCTTTCTTTTTGGGGGGGAGAAGAGAGGAAAGGTAATTAAACACTCTTGCTTCTCCCTCCTCTTTTGTACACTGTAGACAGATATTCTAGTAGCTTCCTTTTTCACTTGTTAAAGCAGAAGTGTCAGAAAGATGACAGTCTCTTCTGGCATCTTCCCGGAGTACTCCAAGTACCATGAAAAGGAAGGAGGGAGCGAGACGCGTGTCAGTCCTGCGGTGTCCTACTTAGAGCAGCAGTATCTGGATAGGAGAAGAGTTAAAATGTTCCCTTTAAGTATGAATCAGCTAATGCTAAAAAGTGTCAAGGTTTCGTGGGCTTTACACCAGACCCCATCCTATGCCTACAAAAGCTACACTCTTGAGAATGCTCTGTTCACCTTCAAAGCACAGTGTTTCATCGGAGTCCCTCCACAATCTTGGGACAAGTGAGGAGTCAAAAGCAGCCTCAAACTACCTCTGGCTAGTAAACTGACCCACGGAAGATCAGATCATCGGTGATCTACCCCCCCCTCCACACCACTTACCACCGGTCCGGGATGAACCTCCAAAGAGTTGTATTTACAAAGCATCTACAGACCTACATCGTGCGTGCCCGTGTACCTTACACGGATGTAGGATGGGGACACACGCGTGAAGTCCTTCGAGTTGCGTGAAGTCCCAGGGAAGGGGTGGGAGGGAGAGCGAAAAAAGTCGCTCCGTTGTGATTTTCCGAGGTCACTTCTCGGGACTCACCCGCGGGCGCGTTCCGGTAGCGGAAAGCGGGCCCTGAGGCGATCGACGACAGTCGGGCCTCGGACCTCGATCGGTCCCCTCCGGCGAGAGGCGCGCGGGCCGGGACGTGCCCCCAGAGGTCAGCTCGAGGCTCGGCCCCGCCCCTACCCGCCCCCGACGACCCCCACAGGCGGCGGAGGCAGCCGCGCCGCCGGTGCGCGACTCACATGTGCGGATTCCTTCTGAAGGCGTTGGTGATGTCCTTCACCACCCGCTGCACCAGCACGGCCACCTCCTCGCTCGTCTCGGCCATGTTGGCGGCGGCCGCGGCGGCTCGGGCGCGCCTCGGAGAGAGTGCCGGGCGGCCGGCGGGAGTTCCGCGGAGGAGCGCGCGCGTGTGCGCCGGTTTGGCCGCGCCCCCGCCCCCGCGCCCGCCCCCGCCGCAGTCGCCGCCGCCGCCGCCGCCGAGCACTTCCGGGTCATGCCACCGGCAGCTGGGGCGTGGCGCCCGCCGCCCACACGGGCTGAGGCAGCCTGGTTGGTCCCCGACTTTTCGCTAGCAGCCGAGGTTCTAAGCGTCCGGGAAGATGCTGCAGATTCCTTTGCAAAGTTACTTGAGGTCGCTGTTTTACACAATTTATTTTAATTTCTAGTTCACTCGGGGCCGAAGAGGGAGGGGTTCTAAAGTCACTCCTCCGGAGCCGGAGTCAGCGTGAAGCCCACCCCCACCCTCTTCCCGGCCACTCAGTCTCAAGTGTTGTGGGAAACAGCTTTCCTGAGCTTCTGCAGGAAAGTTTAACTGAGAGTGCCGGTCCTCCTGAGCTTTTAGTCCCTTGGCGTGTGGGGATTCTCTTCGCCCTCTTTTTTCCAAATGGAGGGATGGCGCGGTCCACAGACGCTGGTAGCTGAGTGAGCCCAGTTGGACCGTGTTGGTGACCTCCTTTTGTACCCGCGTGCTAAAAAAAAATAGTTTAATAAATGTATTAAAGGAGGAAAAAGGAAAATGAAAGTTATTTGCCAACAGGATGTAGGGAGTAGACCAGAGAAATATTTTTTAGATTTTCTATGAGTGTATTTCACTTTGTCCATCATTTGGTGTGCTTTGAACGTTGCGTGTCAATTTTGGCGATTTTTAGAAAACCAAGACCCTGACGAAGTTTGCTCTTAATAGCCATTAACCTTGCTACAAATATTTTTTGTAAGAAAAGCTAGCTTTCTAGTTCCTTTGGATTTTGAAATGCCATGTATCAGATTTCCCTTCACCCCTCCGTGATAGAGAAATCTGGATGCCTTAGGTTCAGTTATTTTTAGTTAATCCTTGAGATCTGTATCTTTTAAAAACTTCTTTTAAAGCAAGTTCATAGTCTGTATAATATGAAATAATGTGGCGCATTTGAAGTAGGGTTGATGATTGTGAAAGTAAAAACCATACATTGGTTGCAAAATTCATAAAGCATTGAATGAGAAATATAAATGAACTATATCCAGTGGTTAATACTCCCTGTGGGTATTGATGTAGGAAAGAACGCTAGGGTTTGAAGCCAATGGCCGATATAGAATTATTGAGACGTGGACGTGTTTGGGGCAAAAAGGTGATTTTATTAAAGCAAAGGGGCAGGACCCATGTGCAGAAGGAGCTGCAATGGGGTCAAAAGTGGCCTGTTATATGCTTTCAAGTTGGGAGGGGGTTAGGATAGGGTAAGTCTCTAAGGAGTTTTGGAAGCATGGTTTCCAGGATGTTGAGGGAGCTAGCTTTTGTTGGGAAAAGGTCATTTATTATGTCTAATAAAACTTTAGTCATGAGACCCTTCAGATGTATATGGGTAGGCAATATGCTTGGGGGTTGATTGCCAGCACATATCTTGGGGGTTCAGAGATAAAGGAAATTTCTTTTTTTTTTTAAATTTTATTTTTAAAAGATTTTATTTATTTGTTTGACAGAGACACAGCAAGACAGGGAACACAAGCAGGGGAGTGGGAGAGGGAGAAGCAGGCTTCCTGCTGAGCAGGGAGCCCGATGCCAGGCTCCACCCCAGGATCCTGGGATCATGACCTGAGCCGAAGGCATACACTTAACGACTGAGCCACCCAGATGCCCCAGATAAAGGAAATTTCTAGAGAAATTTTTATATGTTAAAGTAGACTTAGAGTATCCTGGGGGGGAGCGTGTCAATCAGTCTAGGATTGCCTTTTGCCCTTAGCAAAATATTACTATTGAGGCAGTTGAGTCCCTAGAGGAATGTCACTCTGCCTGTTTTAAGGACTTGTCAATGGGCTGTAGGTAGTAAGGAAATTTAATAATTTTTCTTCTGCTTTTGTTTCCAACGTCAGGTATGTTGATAAAAGTTAGACCTGCTGTCTGGACCCTGGCCTTCTGGTTTTAAAAGAAATGAGCTAGAAGTTTCATGAAATTGTATAAAAGCAAGATGGGACAGGTTTGAATTAGTAAAATCAAACAAACTTTAACCTCTTGACAAGTTCTCAAACGAGGCAGTGAAATGAGTGTGTGTTTAGATTCCAAGGCCAAGAATTACTTCAAGTATCCTAGTTACTCTTAAGAATGTGATACCAATTCTCAAATGGTTTGTGTTACATTTGATAAGTCTTCCTCTTCACTTAAAGCGTTGCATCCTTTCCTAATAAAAGTGGCAAATAAATGCTGACTTCTGGGGGCACCATACCCAAAAATACAATTTTTTTTCAAAGACTTTAATTTTATGTTAAAAATTAGTGAGATTTTAAAACGTTAAAATATATTTAACAGGGAAAAAACCCAAACTTTATCCTTAAATCCTGAAGTAAAACTGATGATCCAGAAAGGTAATTCCTCTGTATGGTTCTGTTTATGCTCTCCCCACATACACACACCTAGATGTACATACACCTTCTTTGTACTCGTTTGAAAGGCATGAGTTATATGTCTCATGTTTCTTTTAAGAGTTCACAAATGGTTTCACCCGATTATTAAGGAGCTACTATGTTTACAACTCAAATTTTTTAGAATTGGAGCATATTAGAACTGTGATCTAACCCCCTAATTTTGCAGATAAGGAAGTAGGTTCAAAAAAGATCAGTATTGAAATTCATGAGACTTAATTATGATATGTATATAAGAATAGAGTATGATAAATTTAGCATGATTTGTTGAAGGACTCAAAGATTTACATTCATGGATCTGCAAAATATATTTACATTCAGGGATCTGCAAAATAATGAAATATTGTAAATAGCTTAAGTGCCCAATGTTGGGACTTTAGTAAATTACAGTAAATCTGTAAGATGAAATACTATTTAGTCATTTAAAAGCACATTAAAACTAGAAGAATATATACCAAATTCTTAGTGGGAGATGTATTTATAGGAGAATTTTATTTTCTAACACAAAGAACAAAGTACAATTTTTGTAATTTAAGAATTTTTAAAAGTATATGTTAATAAAAACATAGGTCTGTTTGTTAGTTAACTGTTTCTTACTCATTTTTTAGAGATGTATTGATTTTTAAATGACTTTTAATGACCTCTAATGTATCTGTGAAAATATTTTGACAGTCTACCCCTCACCCCCCAGTCATGCTTTTTGTATTTTAGAAGACTATTTGATGATGGGGAAAAAGTAGATATGTAATGACAAAAAGAAGTACCAAAACAACATACAAGACAACCCTAATTATAGATATACATATAAAATAAATTATATGTAATATCAGTGTAATCACATATACATCCATATAATAGACCAGGAGGATATAAACTGAAATGTTAATAGTTATCTCTGTATGATAGAATTACTAGAGATAATTAATATCTATATACTTTCTTTATGTTCTTCTGGGTGTTCCAAACTTTCTAGGATGAAAAACTTAACATATATGTTGATGGCCTTGGTAGGAAAGAAGACAAGGTGATTTTAATGACAAGCCTAGTAATTACTTTTGTGAAAAACTGTGGAGAAACTTAATAATGTTTCCATCTTCACACTATTATTCTACTTATATCACTATGATGTGTTGTTTATTTACTCCATTTATTTGAAGTCCATTTCCCATGGTAATGTTACATAAAATAGAGTGTAAATAGTACTAAACATGTTCTTACCATGTGCTATTATTACAAAAACAACAAACTTCTTTCTATCACTAAGAAAAAGTAAATGTTCAGTTTTAAATGATTCATGATAATATTACCATTGGTAACTATATACACTATGCCAAACTTCAGCCTTATCACTATCATAAAATTTATAATTCAAGAACTTATTAACAAATAGAAGGGAAATAATGCTAGTCAAAAAGCTACAATATCAATGTCTTTTTATGAATTCTTAAGAAAAGCCAACAGAAGTAGTAATCATTTTTGAAGTTTTTATTAGAGACCACTTCAAGAAAAGGAATAGAAATTAATAAATGAATTTTAAATAACATGTGCATTAAACTTCGGAGAGTTTGGGGATACCCTTTGCCTTGGTGTGTGGGTTTATTTTCCCCAAACAAAACTTCATAGACAATCAAGCACTATTTTTTTAAAAAGTCACAAAACCAGGAATACGAATGCCATCTATTCTTACGCTTAGTTGATATTGCTAGCCCTTCATTATTCTAATTGTTGAGATAAAGATAAGATGCATATGATATCGTCTTTAAACTGTAAAGCACTATACAAAATTATTTCTGTGGATAAAGCCTCATTCAAGTAAATCAGTATTAAAATAAAACAGTAAACCAAGACTAAGCTGAATACTATCAATATGAAACTCTGTTGTTTAACTGTTTTAAAGAAAATTATTATACTGCGATTGTAATTAATCCCCTAGTTAAAACATGAAGTTTTTTTTTTTTTAACCTGACAGAGTTGGTAAATGTTATCAAGATGCTAATAGTGAAGATGACTTTATTTTTTTTTTTTTTAAGATTTTATTTATTTAGACAGAGAGAGAGAGACAGCAAGAGAGGGAACACAAGCAGGGGGAGTGGGAGAGGGAGAAGTAGGCTTCCAGCAGAGCGGGGAGCCCAATGTGAGGCGCGATCCCAGGACCCTGGGATCATGACCTGAACTGAAGGCAGACGCTTAACAACTGCGCCACCCAGGCACTTCCGTGAAGATGACTTTAAATGACCAGTTAATGCTGATATTAGACTCCCTGAGGATACAGAAGTGCAGATACTAGTTGCATAATAAGGTTTTTGTTGCTGAGTAAGTGATATTTTCTTTTTCTTTTTTTCTTTTCTTTTTTTTTTTTTAAAGATTTATTTATTTGAGAGAGCGAGAATGAGAGAGAGAGAGTACATGAGAGGGGAGAGGGTCAGAGGGAGAAGCA